CACATCCGCCTGAGTCAGTCTATGGTATCCCATGGGGAAGAGATGCGTAGCTTGGCTCCGGTGGTTTCACACCCCGCATTCCGCACATCGGGCTCCACCCAAGCACACTCATGCACATTGCAGTGTCTTGGGTTTCGCGGCCACACGCGGCGTCGCAGCGTAGAAAGGTCCAGAGAGGATCACATCACACGAGGGAATCAACCATGCCGTGCGCATACCCAGGCATGGGAAACGAAGGGGGAAAGACGAGGGAAGAAGCTGACAAGCCAGTGACAACAGTACGTGACCAGACATGGCGAGGCGAAATGCCACCAGCAGGGCCAGCGATGACGAGAGGCAAAGCAAGCCAAAGACGACAGCGCAGTACCGAAAGGAAGGCGAAGCCAGGCGGCACAGGAGGACGACGGCACAAAGCAGCCGCCCGCGTAGTGGCGACAGGGAGGCGGCGCGGGCGCTGGGGGCGGGGCGGCGGGCCTTGCAGCAGCGGGAGCGGCACCGCCGAAGCCGCGGGAAAGGGAGCAAGGTGGGGCCAAAACGCCGACGCGCAGGCCCCCAGAACGGCGAAACGGGATAAAAGGTGCACCAAAAGTTGACAAGCGCATCCCACGGCTCGCACAATAAGTACTCGCAAATAGCATGGATCTGCCATGGCAGATTTCGTGCGTTTGCGAGCAGGCCCTTTGCGAATAGTGGAACGGGCTCGGTGAAGAGGAGGGCACCCACGGACGGTGGACCACGTCCGCGCCAGCAGCCATCCCCGGCATCGCCGCCCCGCCCGGGTGAGGGGACACACGCACACGCATACACACACGTATGTATATATATATATGTATAGATATGTATATATATATATATATACATATGCGTATGTGTATATATATATATATATATATATGTATGCGTCGGCGGAAGGGCAAAGGGGGACTGCTCCGGAGGAATGGCAACAGGGGACACGCTGTATGCGAATCAAGGCCGCAATGCACGGAAAGAAGAGGAAGATCACTGGCGCGACAGGAAGAGCGGAAGCCGGGCCACTCAGAGCTGCCGGCTGCGGCGGGGGGAGCGCCGAGGGGGGGGAGCAGCGCGGGCACAGAGCTGCACTGAGCTGCACTGAGCTGGACCTGGGAAGAAGCAGCCAGGAGCCGCAGCACGTGCTAAAGAGGAAACGAAGCGTAGCCCAACCTGGTGGACCGAGCAGAGTCCAGGGATGAGCCGATGCGCCGAGACCAGCGGGCCTGCGAGGCGCGTGGTGCGAGGATCTGGGGAACGCCAGGACGGACCAGCCCCAGTGCACATACACCCTTTCGAGCGTGTGCGGGCGGGCGACTGGCCGCACCGCCAGGGCGGCAGGACGGGCCAGCGAGCCCGGCCCGCGGGCAAAACAGCGGGCCGGGCGGCGGGGCAGCGAGACAAGGGGAACACGGAGTTTTTGCGTCGGCGGCTGGGCAGACGGCGACTGCTCCGGCGAACGGGCATCATGGGGACGCACAAGATGCAACTTGGACCGCGGTGCGCGAGGGAAAGGAGGAGACCCCGGCACGGGAACACACACACACACACACACAGACACACACCCACACTTTGCGTCGGCGGCTGGGCAGAGGGCGACTGCTCCGGCGGGGGGAGGCAATAGGGGACACGCGCACACACACACACACACACACACACACACACACACACACTTTTTGCGTCGGCGGCTGGGCAGAGGGCGACTGCTCTGGCGAACTGGCAACAGGGGACACGCTGCATGCAAGTTTTAAGCCGCCGTGCACGGAGGTGGAGGAGGAGGAGCCCCGGCGCGACAGGAAGAGAGGAAGCCGGGCCCACTCTGAGTCGCCGACTGCGAGACAGGGGGAACACACATATACACACACACACACACTTTGGCGATCGCGCCCCCGCGTGCAGCGACGAGGCGAAGAAGAAAGTCGAGCAGAGCGAACGCGACCCCGCGCGCGCGGGCCTCAGAACAGGGGCGCGACACACACACACACACACACACACACGTTTATTTTAGCAGAGGAGCCTCAGGCGCGGTAAGCTGTTGAAGATGCGAAGTGCGAACGAAGTTCGTCGTAACGCGCAGTGACAGATCCGTCCACCGCTGCAGTGCAGAAGGGTTGGTGAAAAGAAGATGCGAGCTACTGCAAAACCAACGTGCAGCGGCCAACAAAGCGAGGAAGAGAAAGCTCGGCTCGAAAAAGTCGAAGCGCCAGCAGTCTGGTGCTATTTGATGCAAATGAGACACCGTAGCAATTCTAGATAATCAAGAATTTGGTGCCATGGAATCATCGTAGCGACGTTAGGCCGTGAAAACAAACGACTGTGAAGCTGCCAGACCAGCCGATTGGTGGGCTAGCGTTGGAGCTACAGCTTGTCGTAACTGATGGGTAGAGTGCAAACCACCGAACCGGCGACGCAAGATGCATAGCGGTCGATCATGTGCCGTCTAAGGCCATATCGTGCCACCCCAGACCGTGTGATGACTTGGAGTGGAAGTTTTACCATGGTGACGAAGATGGAGATGGTTGTGATACTGCTATTTGGCATGAAAAGAACGAATGACGCGAGCGCGAAGACGGAAAAAAAGCCTGAGACAAAGAGGCTCGAGGCAAACGGCAGCTCGCCCCAGCGGGCGACGGTTGCGGTTGTACCAAGGCCCCACCCATGGAGCCTGAATTGGCTTACTGACATCGAATATGAATTCAATTAAAATCATCCTGTGATCTTCCGTGTCCTTCCGCTTCCTCCAAGGTCCTCCCGTGTCCTCTCTGTTGTCCCGTTTCCTCCCGTGTCCTTACGTATCCTCCCGTGTCCTCACGTGTGCTCCCCCAGCAACGATGCCCTTCGGCGTCTTTTCGCGGATGTCCGAATTCCGAGTTCCGAATTCATGTGTGCTCCCGTGTCCTCATGTGTTCTACTGTCACCTCCTGTGTTCTCCTGGGCCCCATCCGTGCTCTATGGCGCCCTCCCGTGCCCTCCCGCGAACTCCTGTGTCTTCCCGCGTCCTCACGGATCCTCCCGTGCCCTCACGCCAGCTCCCGCGCCCTCGTGCGTTTTTACTGCGACCTCCTGTGCTCTCCCAGGCCCCTCCGTGCCCTCCCGTGCCCTCCCGCGTCCTCACGTACCCTCCCGTGTGTCCCCGGGGAGGCGCTGGCCCAAGAAGCCTTCGGGGCGAGCGGGCGGTCGGGCCGGAAGTCGGGCACGTCCCTCCACAGGAGGAAATGTCAAAAAGGGTTAAAAATAGCATGGTGACGATCTCTGTGTTTTCTTGACTATTTCGGAGCATGTTTCGACGAATGTCATTCCTCCTCCAGGATCCGCCTGTAGGAGGACATGCCCGACCTCAGGCTGGCAACGAGGGGGGCCCCTTTCCCTCTCCCCCCTCCGCTGGCCAGAACCGGTGCTGGGCCACCTCAGCCCCCCCTGCCGGCCCCAGGACAGCGGTATCGGTATGGGCCCCGTCGTCCTCTGAATTTAGGCCCCCCCCCTGAGGGGCAACGACACCGGGCGACGGGGCATAGGGGATCTCCTGCCATGAGTCGTAGTAGGGAGCTCCTAGTAGAAGTCGCAGTAGGGAGCTCCGACTACAAGTCGTAGTAAGGAGCTCCTACTATGAGTCGTAGTAGGGAGCTCCCACTATGAGTCGTAGTAGGAAACATCGACCCGGTATCGGCGATACATCGCCGACCGTCGGCGGCAGGCCTCCGGCAGTGGCTCCGCACGCTCCTAGGCAGGCCGGGGCCATCGGGCCCCCGGCGGCGATCCACAGGGCGGCTGGGGGTCCATGCATCCCCCCCTGTCGCTGACACCTGTCGTTGACCCCCCTTCGGTGGCAACTCATGGGAGCCTCCCATACCGTCTTGTCGGCTCTTGCGAATCGACGATAGTCGACGCTAGATCGCGACGCTAATCGACGCTAAATCGACGCCAACCGACGCTAAGTCGGCGCTATCTCATCGACTCCCAGACGCTAATCGACGCCAATCGACGCAAAGACGGAGATCGAGAGGGCATAGCAAGCTCACAGGACTTGCTACCGAAGCATCCCCCCCTGCCGGTGACCCCCTGTCGTTGACCTAGGGGAACGAAGAATGACAGAAACATAAAAACTCGGAGGTCCGCGCGGATTTCTCGGATCGGCGCTGGACCCCCCTCCCTGGCGCGCGGAGCGCCGGGGGCGGCGCCGGAGGCGCCGCCAGGGTGGCCCAGCGCGGATACGAGAGATCCGCGCGGACCTCCGAGTTTTTATGTTTATGCCACTTTTTGTTCCCCGACGACGACCCCCGCACGCTCCTCCCCGCCCGTGCAGGTCCGCCTGAGTGGGCGCCCTGGCTTCGGCCTCCCCCCCGGGGGCCGGCCTCCGGGCCCCCCCCCCGCGCGGTCGGCCGCGGTCAGCATGCCGGGGGGCCCCGCGCCCCCAGGGCTCCCGCATGACCCCACAGGACCCCCCCCCCCTGCCGTGGCACCCCCCCCCCAGCGGGCCGCGCTTCTGGGGCCGCCGCGGCGCCCCGGGCGCGGAGGCGGCGCGGCGGCGCTCGGCGGGCGGCGCCGCGCGCCCCAGCGGCGGCCTCCCGGAGGGGGGCGGAGGACAGTGCCGCGTGTCGCAGGCCTGGAGGTTGACACCAACGCCAATGTCGGCGGTGTGCCTCCAACGAGGGAAGAAGATCCCGATCTCGGTGATGGTGGTAGTATTCTGGCTTCCAAGGTGGCCGAAATACTACCACCAACACCGAAATCTAGGATCATCTTCCCCCTGTGGAGGCGACCCCCTGTGTTGGTGTTGGTGCCACTTTCCAGGCCTCCAATGCCGTGCAGGTCCGCTGGCGCGCGGAGGCCGCGCGCGCCCCCACGAGGGGGAGGCGGCGATGGAGAGCGCGCAGGGAGAGGCACCCCCTCTGAGGCAGGAAGATCGCAGGCAGGCCACTGCGAGATCCCGGAGTCCACAAGAGCGTCCTCGAGACTTGCGAATTAGTGCGGGCACTCGTGTGCCTGGGAGTGGGCACCAGCACCAGCAAAGGGGGTTGCCTCCACCAGGGGAAGATGATCCCAGGTTTGGGTGTCGGCGGCAATCTCTCTCGGCCACCCAGACAGCCCGAAAATGACCACCATCACCGAGATCGGGACCGCCATCCCTCGGTGGAAGCACACCGCCGACACTGGTGTTGGTGTCAGCCTCCAGGCAGGCGAGAGGAGCGAGCCGTGCGGCAGAGGCCGCACTCTCCTCTTGGGGCGGTCGCGGCCTCGCGCGCAGCGACGGGGAGGAGCAGGCGGGGCAGCCGGCACGGACCCCGAGATCCGACGCTCGGACAAAATGTGGGGCAGGCGGTTTCGGGCCGTTTTCTCGGGAGCGGCCAAGAGGGGGGTGTCCAAGAGGGGGGGGGTGCAAATCATGACCAGCGGCATGCGCGCGGCCCAGCGGGGGGGCCCAGGGACGTAATGAAACAAGAAGAGGCGCCATGAAATCTGGGCAAATATCATGGCCCCCGCCATGATATCCACCCCCCTCCTAGTCATCACCCCCCTCTTTGCCGCCCCCGATTTTCGGCCTCTGGGGTGCCCTCGCCGGGCATCGGGGGCGCCAGAGAACGACTCGGGACGCAAGACCGGCCCCGGAGAGGGGGCCCGGACCTCCTGGGCCCACGCCTCGAGAAAATCGGAGCGGCTGGATGTCTGGGGACACACAGCAGGAGCTCGACCACAGGAGGCCTTCCACGAGAAACCCAGCCCCCAGAAGCCCCAGGGCGTCCCCTGACTTTTGGTGTGGGAGCGTCACGCTCTCCGCAGCAGACAGCCATCGAGATACAATAAACCTGGGGCACCCTGGAGGCAAGCAGGGTGTTTCCTGACATGGGTTGCCACTGCACGATGCCTTGATGTTTTCCTGACTTCGTCCCCAGACATCCCGAACCTTTCCCCCAAGGCCGGCTTGTCATCGCGCGTCGATTCTGCTGACGGTCCCGAGGCCCAGCGAGGGCCCCCAAGAGGCCGAAGTCGGCCAAAAACCTCCAGCCGCGATTTGTCTTACTTGAGGGATGAAAAAAAACGACCCTACCCTGGGTTACAAGTGCGTGGTCTGTAAACCTCCTGGGAACCCTCAAAGCCTAGAGCCGCCAGGACGCGGCACATCACGCAGGGTTTACCCTGTCAGCCCACAGGAGTTTCAGCGCACAGCGCCTCGTAAACCAGGGTAGGGGCGTTTTTTCTGCCCTTGACTTACGACGCGAGCATGTCTCGGGAGGAAGAGCTGCGCCGAGGCCCCCGCCCACCGCAGGCCCCCCCCGCCGTGGCTGGCGCCCGCCCAGGTGCTCCCCAGCAGGGCCTCGTGGACCTGCCCGCGCCAGAAACTGCCGGGCCTCAGCCTCAGCCTGCCTCAGCTTCAGCCTCAGCCTCAGCCTGCGGGGGGTCGCCTCGGCCTCAGCCTCAGCCTGCCTCGGCCTCAGCCTCAGCCTCAGCCTGCCTCAGCCTCAGCCTGCCTCAGCCTCAGCCTGCATCAGCCTCAGCCTCAGCCTGCCTCAGACGCAGCTTGCCTCAGCCTCAGCCACAGCCTCAGCCTCAGCCTCAGCCTGCCTCAGCCTGCCTCGGCTTGCCTCAGCCTCAGCCTCAGCCTGCCTTGGCCTCAGCCTCAGCCTCAGCGTGCCTCAGCCTCAGCGTCAGCCTCTCAGCCTCAGCCTGCATCAGCCTCAGCCTCAGCCTCAGCCTGCCTCAGGCTCAGTCTCAGCCTGCCTCAGCCTCAGCCTGCCTCAGCCTCAGCCTCACAGATGGCTCTGGGCAATCAAAATGTGGCTCAGGAATGGTGTTCTGGGAACACGAAGAACACGAAATGGCCTACAGTTGGCTCTGGGCATTCAAACTGTGACCCGGGAATGGTGTTCTGGGAACACGAAGAACACAAAGTGGCCTACAGTTGGCTCCGGGCATTCAAAATGTGGCCCAGGAAAGGTGTTCTGGGAACACGAAGAACACGAAGTGGCCTACAGTTGGCTCCGGGCATTCAAAATGTGGCCCGGGAATGGAGTTCTGGGAGGTCGAAGAGCACGAAGTGTGTGACTGTTTGCTTAAAACGAGCCTGGCCCTCGCCTGTCCGGCTCCCGCCCAGACCCCCCTGGGGAGTCATCAGATGCTCTCTTTTGACCCCATTAGAAACCTAACAGTCTTCGCTGTTAGGTAGGGGTTTTTTCTGCCCTGGACCTACGACGCGAGCATGTCTCGGGAGGAAGAGCTGCGCCGAGGCCCCCGCCCACCGCAGGCCCCCCCCGCCGTGGCCGGCGCCCGCCCGGGTGCTCCCCGGCAGGGCCCCGTGGACCTGCCCGCGCCAGAGACTGCCGGCGCCTGCCCGGCACGCCGGGGGCCGCCCCCGGAGCTCACGACGGCGCGTCTCCGCCCCGACGGGTGGGCGCACCCCCGCCCCGGGCCCCTGGAGAGGGAAAAAGCTGCAGAAACAGGATGAACTTGGCGTCGGGCACGTCCTCCTACAGGCGGACTTTGGATGAATATTTTGAGTAGTCGACAATATTCAAAAAACAAAAATATATATATTAAACACATATATATATATACAACAACAAACAAACAAACAAACAAAAAAACAAAAAAAAAAAAAAAAAAAAAAAAAAAAAAAAAAAAAAAAAAAAAAAAAAAAAAAAAAAAAAAAAAAAAAAAAAAAAAAAAAAAAACGAACAAGCAAAAAGAAAACGTCACCACAAAATATCAGAATATTTGAACTATTATTGAATGTTCCTCCTGTAGGTGGACATACCCGATATAATAATGAACTTTCGGAGTTCCGCGCGGATCTCTTGCATCGGCGCTGGACCCCCTGGCAGCGTCTCTGGCGCCGCCCCTGGCGCGCTCTGCGCGCCAGGGAGGGGCGAGATCCGAAAGGATCTGTCCATGCCGTTGTTTTGTTCTTCCTGGAGCCTCTCCAGAGGGATGCAGACCCTGAGATCCGAAGTCTCGAAAACATTGAGACATCGTGAAACATCACGACGGAAGCCGCGGACCCCATCTTCCTGCGCCACTCTTCTAGCCAGATCGATCTGTGGGGGTCCCAGGGCCCAAGACTGGGCGGAAGCGGCCAGCTCGAAAGAACGGCATCGACAGGATCTCAGGGGAGGCGCCTGGCAGCGCCGGGGAGCGCCGGGGAGCGCTCGGGAGCGCCCGCCTGGGAGCGCCCGAGGAGCGCCTGGGAGCGCCGAGGAGCGCCTGGGAGCGCCATGGGGCTGCTCGGGGCCGCCTCCCTGACCTTCCAGGAGGGCTAAAAAATAGCACCGGACCCAAAAACCTATCCCAAAGCTATTTATTATACCTCTTGGTTTTAGGCTGTTCCGTTCCGCTTTTCAGGTTCTTAGGCCTCCCGTGCTCAAAAATAGCTCCCTGGAAGGTCAGGGCTGGGCGCGCTTTGGGGCGCCCGTGGGCGCCGAGGGGGCCCTGGAGGCCCCTGCGGCCCCCGAGGACCGGAGAGCGCAGGAGGCCAGCGCCGCCGCGGCGCCCCTCCGAGCGGGGCGGCGCAGGCCGAGGCCCTGGCACTCCCCCTGCCAGCCTCGGCGACTCCGAAGGGTGTGGTTAACCACACCCTTCGGAGTGTGGTTCACCACACCCTTCGGAGGAGGAGGAGGAGGTTTGGCAAAGTGGAGCGCAAAACCATGTCACAGCCAGGAGACCTGCAAATTCAACGCAACCACAACAGATCACGACATAACCAACGGCATGAAAAAATCACGACTCCAACATGCCTGGGTTTGCAAAGAGTGTGGTTTGCAATCGGCACCCTGAGGGGCACCATGGGGGTCGGGCGGGTACCTCGATAGAGTTCCCCGCCGCGCCCCGACGAGGCCCGACGAGGACGGCGTCGTGCCCTCCAGGCCCTCCAGGCTCCCGCGGCGCCGATCGCAAACCGCACCCCGGCGTAGCCACAATCCCTCGCAGTCGCCGACAGCCGGCCCGCCCCCGCCCCCGCCGGTGCTGGGCCCACTCGCTGCGGAGGGGCTCGGGGACCACGCGCAGCGCCTTCTGGATGTGGTGCGACACCTGCGCCCCGCGGGGGCGGCCAGGAGGGGGGCGTCCAAGAGGGCGGGGGGGCGCAGAGGTTAGGTTGGGCGGTGTCCCCCTCCTACATGCAGATTTTGGGGTGAAATTTAGAACAGCCCCAAAATACGCAAGATATCAATATCAATGATAATGATAATAATAATGATAATGATAATGATAATGATAATGATAATGATAATGATAATGATAATGATAATGATAATGAGAATGATAATGATAATGATAATGATAATGATAATGATAATGATAATGATAATGATAACGATAATGATAATGATAATGATAATGATAATGAAGATGATAATGATAATGATAATGATAATGATAATGATAATGATGATGATAATGAATATGATAATGATAATGATAATGATAATGATAATGATAGTGATAATGATACTGGCAATGACAATGACAATGACAATGATAATGACAATGACAATGATAATGATAATGATGATGATAATGATAATGGTAATGATAATCATAATGATAATGATAATGATGATGATGATGATGATGATGATGATGGTAATGATAATGATAATGCTAATGATAATGATAATGATAATGATAGTGATAGTGATAATGATAATGATAATGATAATGATAATGATAATGATAATGATAATGATAATGATAATGATAGTGATAATGATAATGAAAATTATAATGATAATGATAATGATAATGATACTGATAATGATGATAATAATAAGACGAAGAAGAAGAAGAATAGTACGAAAACTAAAAATAACAACAAAAAACACAATGATAATAAGAATGATAATAATTAATACGAATGATAATGATTTATCATAAAATAATAATAATAATAATAATAAATCAATAATAAGAATGAGAATAACAACACCAACAATAATAATAGATATTAGCACAAACCGTCCCCTGAATGTTTTTCTTCCCCATATCCTAGGATGGGGTTCTTGTTATTACTCTGACGCCGCCGACTCCTCAGTCAGGCCTCCTCCAATTCTCTTTTGTTTCCTCCTATTTAGATTCGTCCATACTCAGATTCCTTCGCACTCATACTATTCAGAGTTGTTCACATTCAGACTCACTATACTCACTCTCTCGGAGTCACTCATGACAAGACTCTGTCGCAGATTCAGAAGATTCGGAGGATGTCTCAGGTGGGGCGTTGGTTCCAACACCCCGAATGGGAGCCGCCAGAAGGGGTATTGCACGGCCTCTCAGGCGGTTTGCCTATTGCGGTGCCCAATATCGTTTGTGTTGACAACAGTTTTGTGATGATGTCACAGGCGAGGCGCTGGTTTCAGCAGCCATACGGGGAACCGCCAGGGAAGGGTTCACGGGCCCGTTCGCGGCCAATTCGTGGGGATGTCTCAAGCGGTTTGCCTGTTTCCGTGCTCAACATCGCCCGCGTTTATAGCAGTTTGCGAAGATGTCTCAGGCGGAGCGCTGGTTCCAATACCCCTACTGGGAGCCGCCATGGGGTATTGCACGGGCCCGTTCGCGGCCGGTTCGTGGGGATGTCTCAAGCGGTTTGCCTGTTTCGGTGGCCAACATCGCCTGCGCACGGACCAGATTCTGAGGATGTCTCAGGCGGGGCGCTTGCTTCAGCACCCTTAAACGGAGCCGCCAGGGGGTATTTTCACTGGCCCGTTCGCGGCCAGTTTTTGGGGGTGTCTTACGCGGTTTGCCTGTTTCCGTGCTCAACAACATCCGCGTTCAAAGCAAGTCGCGAAGATGTCTCAGGCGGAGCGCTGATTTCAGCACCCCTACGGGAAACGCCTGGGATGTTTTCACGGGCCCGTGCGCGGCCAGTTTGTGGGGATGTATCTGGCGGTTTGCCTGTTTTGTGGCTCAGAGCAGATTTGGAGGATGTTTCAAGCGGGGCGCTGATTTCAGCACCCCCCAGGGGAGCCGCCAGGGGGCATGACACGAGCCCGTTCGCGGCCAGTTTGTGGGGATGTCTCTGGCGGTTCGCTTGGTGTGTGGCTCAACATCCGTTGCTGTCAGCGCAGATTTGGAAGCGGGGCGCTGGCTTCAGCACCCTTAAGGGCGCTGGTTTCCTTCTCTCTCTCTTTCTCTCTCTCGCTCTTCCGCTCCCTCTCCTGCGCACTTCCTCGATGCACCTCTGTCGCGCCCTCGCTCGGGCCTCCGGGGGCCGAGTCGGCCTCGGGGGGGGTTGGCCTCAGGGGGCAAATCCAGCGATCCACAGGACGGCAGGGCGTTCTTGGTTGAAGGCCGTCTTTGTTACACCCCGGGTGGGTGAATGGAGACATGGCTGATGACGCAGAATGTTCTTCTGCAGCTGCGCAGTTCTCCGAGGCGCCGGGCGCGGTTCCGCCGACATTCGACAAGTCATGCTGCGAACTGCTCTGGGAACGGCGCCAGGGAATGCAAATCAAGGCTCGACCGCTGCGACGTCCTCGGGGGCAAGCGCTGCCGCTGTCAGCGCTGACACGCGCTTCGCTCGGGCGATCGGCGGCATTCTGGCATGGCTGGCTTCCGTGGGCGGAGCTTCGACTGTCGGAGCAAGTTACGCAGATCTGGGCGCCTTCGCAGCAACGGAGTTGGGCCTGTCGCCCACGGAGACCGAAGCGGCCGTATCTCACTTGCTGGATGACGGCGCCGTTTACGAGACGATCGATAACCATAACCAGGTGCTGGAAGGACACGCTGCTTATTCCAGCGCGGCTGCGAACGAAGGCGACGGCGTCAACAGGGCGCTGGGCGACGCGCGGGACATGGCGGAGGGGGCCGACCAAGAGTCCGACATGGCACACCTGGCAGATATGAGGTCACAGGCGTAGTGATTCACGCTGTGCCACTCGCCCATCGCCCCCATGCCAAGTGCAGACGGCTTCTTTTTGCGTTGCCAGCTGAGCACGATGCCAAGTGCGGACGGCCAAAGCCGAGGCGCAAACCGCGAGGGTGCCATTTGTAGCACTTGCCTTTTGCACGCCATGTGCCTACGGCTTCTGTTTGGGTTGCCACCTAGGCCCAATGCGAAGTGCGGACGGTTAAAGCTGAGGAGCTTATCGCGAGGTGCCGATTGAAGCACTTGTCTTTCGTGTACTTCCCTGGTGCTTCGGACGCAGTACCAGTGGATTATTTGCCTTGGCACCAAATGCGCTAACAGATGCATGTAAATGAATGTGTAATGTGTTGACTGTACAGCCGAACTGCGCGCACGTGTGCTTGTCGCTCACATGGTCGCGCTCTGAGATGAATACTATCATAGGCAAATACTCACCATGGTACTATCCTACAACATGAAATGCACATATTGCTCATATGGCTAGACGCTCATGTACATATCCCAAATACAAAATATATGTTTAAAGAGATCCACATATGGGGAGCTCCACGCAGTGAGTAATTGACTATTTGGGAATATTCCTCCTGTAGAGGGACAGGCCCGACTCAACGCAAATCGTGGCCGGCGGCACGTGCGCGGCCCAGGAGGGGGGGCCAGGAGGCGCCATGAAATCTGACGAGATACCACGGCCCCCGCCATGATGTCATGGCCCCCCCGTGTCGTCATCACCCCCCTCTTTGCCGCCCCCGACCCCTCCGGACCCGTCCCCCCCCACCGGGCCACCCCGGAGCCCGGCGGCCGTCCTGCCGGCCTGCCGGGCAGGTCGAGGGCGTGCGTCTGGCCTGCCTGCCCGCGCTGCCTGCCCTGGGCTCGTCCTCTGGGGTCCTGGCGCCGCCCTCTCCTCGCGCCGGGCGCCTGCGCTCGGCGTCGGGCCCCGGGGCCCTCGCCGATCGATGCGGCTCGAGAAGCCGCGCGGAGGCACGGGGCCCAGGGCTCTGCAGTCGGGCTTGCGTTCGCGAGGCTGCGGGGCGGTGCGCAGCGTCGGGGCTGTCAGGGTGCCCGCCCTGCCTTCCCTGGGGCTGGCTCGTGCCCGCCGCCCTGGCGCCGCCGCCCCGGACCTGGCTTCGGAGGCGGGGGAAGAGAGAGAGAGAGAGAGTAGAGGCTCCCTGGGTGGGGTCCGAATACATTTGGACGTCCGAGATGGGTACGGAAAGAATGGGTACAATGCCCAACAACAAATGTTGTCCCCAACCAACAGCAGCCGCTGTTGGGCAGGCGGCCTTCTGTCTCGAATGGACACAGGCCGCGGCGGCGTGGACAGCGAGTCCTGTTCAAAATGAACCAGATCCGCTGTTGGGCATTGTACCCATTCTTTCCGTGCCCATTTGGTTCGTGCAGAGTACAGTCGGCTCGTATCATCAGGATGCGCGATGAGGATGCAGGGGCCTTGCACGCCCATGTCGAGGCTCCTCGAGCGGGGCGCGGCCGACGAGAGCGGCCACGGCGGGACCGAGGAGGCGTACGGCTGCAGGGGCACCCTCGGGAAGGATGCCCACCCTCCTCGATGGGTTCGACTGCGGATGGGGCCGGATGACCGCGCCGCACCGGCGATGCGTCGGCACGGAGAGCATCGGGCCGCACGTCGCGCCGCGGCGGCGGGGCATCGGCGAGGCGGCGTGGCCCTCCGGCCGCAGCTGGGAGCCCCCCCGGGGCGGACGAGGCGGCGCGCCCGCGCGCGGGGCCGAGCCGGGCGGGGGGCGGCCGCGGGCGGGCCGCGGGGCGGAGCGGGGCGGGGTCGGGCCGCGGCGGCGGCCCCGGGGGCCGAAGAGGTGCCGGCAGGCTCGCGGCAGGGGCCAAAGTGGGTGGCCACCCACCAGACCACCCCAGCCCAGCTCGAAGGCCCAGCGTTCGGGGGGGGGGGCGGGTGCCACACGTGTTCTTCCACGCTCCCGGGCGCCCCACCCACTGGAGGTGGGAGGCAAATTGGGGGCCTTCGGGTTGGGTCGGGGTGGCTTTGGTGGGTGGCGAATGGGCGGCCAGCGCCAGCGCGGCACGCTGCACTGGAAGCGAGGGCGCGTGAGCGTGACTTGGTGCGGGCAGCTCACGCGCGAGCGTCGGCACAGCCGGCCCCGCTTTATTCTGTCAAAATATGGGGGCCAAGATAGAGACC